GGTGCAGGCGACGCAGGCAGGCTGCTGCCGTGGGGACGAAGCTGTGGGGAGCCGCGGGCTCACCCCTCCCGGCACCCCCTCTCCGCCTGTCCCTTAAAACACCCGTTCCCCATGCCAGAGGGGGGGGCTGGGGCTGCGGGTGCCTCGGCACAGCAGCTCTGAGGACGCCCGGCGGCTCCCACACGGGACGGGCACAGCGCTCAGCACCCATCGCGGCTCGCCAGCTGCCAGGGGCTGGTGCTCCAAACCAAGACCCAAAGCAGAGAAACAAAACAGGAGAAAAAGGAAAAGAAGGGAAAGAGGGGGAAAAAAATCCAACAGGTGTGAGCCTGAGCCAGGCCAGACAAGGCCGAGGCAGATCCTCCCGGAGCGGTGCTCGGGGAGCCCCCGTTCACGTGACGTGCCCTCTGCTGCCCGCGGGAGCACCCGGATCCTTTGGGCCACTCAAACTCCCAGCAGCGCCGTGGTCCAACGGGAGGAAAAACAGGCACCGGGCAAAAAAAGGGCATTTCCGAAGCAGGGCGAGTGGGTGGCGGCGCGGGAGAGCCCCTGCCCGGCCCGGCCAGGCGAGGTCAGGCAGTGCGCTCGCTGTTCGCTCCTGGCAGGCGAATCGGGCGAGGAGCATATGAGAGAAGTGCAGCTCAGAGGCCTCAGCGACTAGTGGAAATTTCCAGAATGTCCTGGACAAGAATGACTTACTGGAAGTAATACATAAATCAAGCAAATGAATAGTTACCAGACAGCAGCATAAACAGCTGCCAGGGGGATGAAATCAGACCTGCTGTGCCAAGAGGCGTCAGCCTCCTCGCCGGCTGCACCTTCGGGGGGAAACAGGGAAAACAACCCAGGGAAAAGCACATTTCTGGGGAGCAGCCGCCGCCGGCCCCGCGCAGGCGCCTCTGGGGGTTCCCCAGAGGTGGCGGGCACAGAGCAGACCCCGGGGGGACACGCTGGCTCCCGCGGGGCTCTGCACGGGCAGCGCAGCCCGGGGAGCACGGCCCGGGGCTGCCAAGGACGGGACTGCTCCACGCGGACCAAAACAAGCGCCGGGTTGTATTTTTAGGCAGAAGACCTAGAGGATTTTTTTTTATCTTCTCCTTCACCAACAATCCCTCATTCAGCAGGGAGCCCTCCGAAAGGCGCCCCCCTCCCTGCCCAGCCCCTGCCCGCCGAGGGGCCGTAACGGAGGGTGGGTTTTGCTGGGGCCGTGGGGCCGTGGCCCTGCAGAGCCCACGGCAACCAGCCACGCTGAGAAGCGGGAAACAATTTGTGCTGGAGATAGCCATCACCATCACGTTGGTTAAAACACGTAAATTAGAAAATACCACCGCAGCAAAACCAAAGGGTTTTAGTCACCGTTGGCCGGGCCGCAACTGTCAGCGATTACAGATAATTAATTCTGCTAAACACACGCACACACACTTCTGCTGCAGCCTCCTTCACTGTTTTGACCTTTTGCCAGGAGAGGAGCGGACACGGGGCAGGGCCAGCCCGGCTCCTCGGGCCGGGGGATGCGTCCAGCAGCAGCGGCCGTGCACGGAGCGATGCCAAGCTGCCGAGGCTCTGGGGAGCCGCTGAAGGGAGAAAACCTGGATCTCACCGGCACAAGAACAAAGCAAGGCTCAGATGTCCAATTCAGTCCACAAAAAAAACCCCCAAAACATTCCTAAATGCCTGAAACATCATCAGAGCGAAATCCTCCTGGTCTGCACCTCCAAAGCATTTACTCCTTGGAGAGAAAGTACATCAAAAAAGAAGAAAAAACAGGGATGCTATCACAGCTCCACTAACAAAAAAGGCAGTTTGCTGCCACCAGCTCTGCTCCCAGCAGCATCACTGGCACAGCCACCGCAAGCCTGGCAGCACCGCGCGCACCTCCGCTTCGCTTTCAACTGCTTCAACTTATTTGGCAAGAGAAAAAATAATTTGGTTTAATCGGAGCTGGCACATTCTACTGATAAAAAACCATCTGAAACTACAGTGCAGCCAGTCTTGGAGACAGGTGCTGGGCCAAAAGCAGATAATCTGCAGCAAAACAAGAAGCAGGCGAGCAGGAGCGAGTTGCTAGGTGACGTGCCGTGGGACAGCCTGCTGCACCCAGGGTGCTCCGCAGCACCCGGCAAGGATCGCTTTCCGCCCTTCCCAGTTAGAAACAGTGGGGGGCAAAATCCCCAGAATAAAGAGAGAGAAAGCCCTGAAGACGGCGTGAGGAGGAGTCCCAGAGCTTGAGGCTGCTGCCCCAGGGGGTGCGGGGAAGGCTGGGCCCAAACTGCTAAAAAAATGATGCTGGAAAAGTCATTTGGGAGAGTGGGGAGCCACTGCCCTGGGAGAACCCCCCTGCAAGCACCAGGAGCTCCAAGGATCAACAGACCGACTAAGCTCTAGGGACTGGTACCTGAAACAGCTACAAGAGACAGGAGAAGATACGTGCGGGTTTGTCTTTCAGTTCTTTGACAGACGTGGGCTATTCTGGCCCGAGATGATTTTTAAGATCATCCAGAGTCTCACTAAGTTCAGTCTCTGCACCCCCAGACGTGTCTGTTGGCAGGGCCGGCAGATGCAGGCATGGGGCTCACTGGGACGGTCTGGCCCGCGGGTGTTGAGGCTTTCCTGCAGAGATCCCCTTGGAAAAACCCCAGAACAGAGATCTCCTCTCTTTCAGGAACAGTAAATCACAGCTGGGTTTATCACAGGAATCCTGACAGCACGAACACGTCCCAAGAAAGAAAATTAAAGGTTGCACCTACTCATGGGTCAAAGAATAACATCATGATAGCAAGTTTCACTGAAACTGAGGTCGGTAGGGCAGAGGAGGGAATTTGCAGCATGACGCTCCTGACGTGGGAGCAGGGACAGGGTTTGCTCACCCTCTGTATTTCGCAGCCGATAACTGCCCAGACACCTGAGCACGAGACAGGAGGCAGCACAAACAGGCCTAGAGATGCAGTCAGAGGCAGAAATCAAGTTAATTTTCGATTTATGCACTCGCCTCCATCCACCCAGCCTGTGCTGTCACCAGGAGCTGTCCTCCCCCCACTTCCAGCTCTCCCTTCCCCTCCTGCACAGGGAGACGAGCCCTGGGCCAGCAGCACTTTGCCCCGGACCAGCAGCACTTTGCCCCGGACCAGCAGCACTTTGCCCCGGGCCAGCAGCACTTTGCTCCAGACCAGCAGCACTTTGCCCCAGACCAGCAGCACTTTGCCCCGGACCAGCAGCACCGGCGTCCCCTCGCCTGGCACAAGCCCCTCTCCCCACACGCCGAATTGCCGGGGGCACCCAACCACCAAGGGAAACCCGGGACATTCCCCTGCTGTGCAGAAGGAAGGGCACTGCTCACCCGCCTCAGAGGCACGCATCCCATCTGGTATTTAACTTGTGTTAATTATTGACAGTTTTTAATGTATTGGCTGTGTTAGCACAGTTCTATCACTGTTCTCAACCACAGCCCCACGCCACGCAAGGAGCCCTTTTCCTTTTCCTCAAGCAACTGCGAAGACGCAAACCAAGAACCAGGAGGTGTAAGGCAACACGGGACGGGGCCTTTTTCTCTGTTTGACAGATACAGACTGAGCTCTGTTTGCAGCCAAAGAGCTCTCCACACTAATACTGTGAGACAAATTTTTTGAGCTCATCTGATAAAAATGCAAATCTGGATTATTCATACATTACTTCAAATAAATAGAAAAAGACCCAGAAAGGTGAGGCAACGCCCTGCACGAGGCGCAGCCCCAGCTTGGCAGGGCCCTTCGGCGGGCAGCGGGCGCACAGAGCAGGCCCTCGCTCCTCAGCTTCTGCCCTTCCCCGAGATAAATTTTTTTCCCATTAAATAACCACTGTGAGCTGTTTCTCTTCCTAATACAGCACACACCACTGCAGCCGTTGTTTGTTTGTGTTTTGGTTTAGTTCCTTCCCTACTAAAGCAGCATGAAACCCATTGTATTACTCGCTTCTCCTCTCCACATCTCAAACACCGCTGGGTTTTCCTTCGAACGAAAAGCACTTCAGTGGGTGTGAGATTCCTCACGCATATTTGGCCGACGGGAGAATCTGGAGCCGCCTGGCCCTTGGCGTGAGCCCGGAAACACGGGAGGTTTGAAACTGAGATCTGAACCAGCTCTTTGGTTTGTAACAGCCTTGCTGGGGAGTCCGTGGACCAGACGCAAGCCTGGCTCAGGAGAAAGCATCTGGAGCCACTGTTAAGCCTTTTTCAAGTATCATGTGTTATTTTTTCTCTTAAACAGATAACTGCAGGTTCTCCCAGACCTCCTTCTAAACAGCCATGCCGATTAACTCCTTCCCCTGGCTTCCAAGCCCTCCCTAATCCCTCCTGCTCACGCAGCGCCGGCGCGAACAGCGAGGGCAGGTACGACCCCGCAGCCTTGAGGCTGGCACAAACACCTGATGATGCTCTCACTTTTTAAACACTAATCAAAGGTTTCCATGGTAACCAGCAGGAGCAGGAACATGGGAAGCTATAGGTCAGCTCTATCACTGAAAGCAAAAAAATTATTCAATTCCTTTGCCCTCCAAGAGTTTCAAGGTGACCTAGAAGTATTGATTCATCAGGCTGCATAAAGGCAGAAAACACGCCCCAGAGTGGTCTTCTGCCGGAGCGGAGAAGGAATAGCTTTTAGTCCTTTAATACCAGGCTTGGTCTGAGCCCCAGCGAGGAGCTTAACCTCCGCTCTGCCTCCCAGAGAGCCAAACGCCCTCCCCACGCCCTCCCCAGCATCTCTCCGCTCCAGCAGCGCAGGGTTCCTCCCGGTGCTGCACAGGGGGGGCTGGCGGGGCAGGGGGCTGCGGGAAAGCCCCCTCCCTCCCTCCCTCCCTCTCCGGCTGCCAGCCCTCGCTTCCCTCGCACATGGGCTTCCAGTTACTCACCAACCAGATATGACTCAACCCCGCGCGCGCACGCACACACACAAGGAAACTTTTCTCCCACTATTAACTTTCAGAGGAAGTGGAAAAAGGAGAGAAAAACATATCAGTCATAAACGTACTTTGCCAAGTGGTTCATCAGCAAGTGCAGCATCTGCCTGTTTTTCTCCGGGAGCCGATGAACGAGGCTGTGGATCTCGGACACCCTCGACTCCTGATTCTCCAGTTCTGCGTTGGAAATAAAAGATGATTTACCTCCACATCATGGGGGTTGTGATAGAAAGAGGCGTGCAGGCCCAAACATTACCACCCCGGCCATCCCAGGGACCCGAGGCTCCCGCTCCCTCCTCCCCGCCGGCACGCTGCAGATCCCTTCCCCAGCACTTCTCCTTTCCACCAGCTCCAACCAGCTGTTCCCCAAAGGCAACTCACGGGCCGAAGCGGCGAGCTGAGCGTGGATGCCAGCCGTGGGCAAGGCCGGCTGCGCTCAGGGAAGGGGCTGGCTGTAACCAGAGCGTCCCAGCCACAGGAACAGGGGCACGTTCCTGTTCATCACGCTTCTGAGCACGGGTAGGATGTGCCCAGCGCGGCGCCCGCTGAGGCTGCAGCATCAGCGGCCAGTTGGGCCGGCGGGTGCTGGCAGAGCTGTTCCCACCGCCCGGGGAGGCCACCACTGGTGTGGCCACGGGCCACGTGAGCTCTCCCGGCCCCCTGGTCCCAGCTGTGGCCACACAGGCTGCGCGGAGCCAGCGGAGAGCTACCTGCTCTCACAGAAAGCACCTTCCCAGGGCAGCCAAAGGCAAGTGGCACAGACATCTGAACCGCAGCCGAGCTCATCAAAAGGCCGTGGGTGGCGTTTGAACCGCGGCCTCCCCCACGCTGGCGCAGGACGGTCACAGTAAGACAGAGCTGCAGCAGCAGCTCCTGCCACCAGCCAGCTCCCTGCTCCCCCTGCACCATCTGCGCTTCCTTTTCATCTGGTTCAGTCCCAAACAACAACATGCCCCGTGTCTCTCTATTCTTATTCTACTTTCCGGGACTTAAGAACAAGGAGGTCGGTGGGGAAGCAGCAGGGCAGAGGTTACGCTCAGCTACTTGCAAATTAGGCTCCTCTTTCAGACCGGTGCCGTAAACATCAACAAACTCACTTGCTGCTTTGATGAAGCTCCTTTGAAACTGGTACATCATGAGCGGCCCCGGAAGCATTCTGGAAGATAAAAAGGTAACACGCACAAAACACATCTGAGTAACACAATCCACAGAAACAAAGCTCTGCCCTCACCAGAAGTTCAGCTCCGTTTTTGAAAGTGCAGAATCAAGCAATAGCAACTCTAATTAACTCCCCTCGTCAGAAGGAATAAGATCTATTCTTATACGGATCTTATTGTTATAGAAGATCTGCATTCTTATATATAAGATCTTATTCTCATATAAAGAAATACCTTTGAGTTATTCTTCCTGCCTTTTCCGCACCATTCATTTTTAATTATAGCATTCCTTCAGTAAGACAGAGTTTCAGTACATTAGTGAACCCATGATTTCCAAGCAAGTTTAAAAATAAATTAAAAAGAGAAACAAGCCTAATCATAAAACTTGAACATTACCATTCCCATTAAACTCCCCGTCCTGCCCTCCCACTTCCACATCCCTTCAGTGGGACATCTTGGTCCTGCCGACATTCTTCAGTGCTTTGCAAACAGTTCGAACTCTGGAGCAAAGGTTGCCAATCATGCAAAATTATGTAGTGGTTTGTGATTTTCTAGGCTGAGATCCACCGAGCTAATTATACTCATCACTCTAATTGGATTTAGCCTCTCTCTTGCACGCTTTCTCTCTCTCTCAAATACAACCCAACGCACAGAACAGCAACAGCAAGCAAGAAGCTGCAGTCGCGACAGGTAGAAGCACGTTGTGGCTAATGAGCTGCTGAGCGCTGCCAACAAACTAACCCTTTGGGAAGAACCCACGCCGACAAGGGCAGACAGAAATTATTACTACAATACAGCTCAGCACCCCGTTCTGAAAAAGGACTACAGCCCCAGCCCTCTGCACTCACCTCCTGCCACAGGCTCGTGAGGCAAGAGCCTGTTGTGAAAAGCTTCGGGAAAAATTTAAATCAAGGCAGGGGACACAAGGATGAGCTTTTAAAATAATGTTTGTATGATACATGAATCTGTCAGAGCTAACCACGTTCCCCAGATCCTACTCAAATGTGGTGAGGGGTCAAGGGAAAAGCCAGAATAAATTCTCTCAGAGCAGTTACTTCTTGGTTTCTATTAAAGTGCTATTGTTAAGGATCTGCAGGAACAGGCAGTAACGCCTCAGACCATCACCAAACCCATCCTGAAGCTGCACGAGAGATGAGGCTTTTCTACCTTACCTCAGGTAAGTTTTCAGTGCACTAGTAATGGTCTTTATCTCCCACTCCGCACAGATCTCTGTTTCTGTTTCTGTGGCTGTTTTGGGATCTACGGAAGAAGACAAAAAGGAAAAAAGTGAACCAAAGGGAAGATAATTCCAGTTCATACCAGCACAGAGGTGTGGGCAGACCATCACGTCCCTGTTTACTTGCTATTCCCCAGCGCCGTGACCACAAGCCGACCCCCAGCAGACACCTCTGCAGGGGAGCAGAGTGCGTTACACGACACGGGCCACGCTCACTTGCACGGGACGAGAAAAAGGAAAGACAAACATCGATCGTGAGCGAAGAGATGGGCAGTTTGACTCGAAGCGTGACGTTACACGGGGCGCAGGAGGCTGTGGCGTTCAGCAACGGCGGTGACAGAGCAGGGCACCAACGCGACAGGGACCCCGGCACATGGAGAGACCCCCAGGCCTCAGCAGAACCCCCCCGTAGGCTGCGGGCGCTGCCGCAGCCCCAAGCAGCGTGAGGGGCAGCAGCACCAGGAGGCGGCTTGTTCTCCCACCCGAGGCAAGGGAAGAGTCCCCAGAGCCAGCCCGACCGGCCGGGGAGGGTGCGGGGAGGCCCTTCCCCACTCCCTCGGCTCTGCGGCTGTTTCATTTGGACAGGAGGAAGAAGCGGGGCTGCTGCACCCCGCGCTGTGCGGCCGGGCTCCGCACAGGGCACGCTACCTGCCAGGGGACCCGGCTCAGCTCACCGCCCCAGGAACGTGCCACCACGTGTCCCCTTCGGCAGCCCAACACCGGCTGTGAGGGGTTCGCAGAGCCCGGACACCCGCCGAGCCCCAAGGACCAGCACGGCCCCGGGGCCTCTCGCTGCTGCCCAGGTACAAGGGAGGGAGCAGCGAGTGGCTTGGTCTGAGCTGCCAGCGGGGAGGACGGGGAGAAGCACCCGGGGTGTTCTGCAGGGGCGCAGAGGCAGCTCCGGTTGGGAGGGTCGCAGGTGAGGCAGAACCACGCTGCGGTCTGATTTGTCACCTCTGGCCTCTCGCTGTCATCCTGTTCTGCCCCTCCATCCTCCCCACCGCAGGCTGTTCGTTGCCATCTTTAATTTTTAAATGCCTGATTCACCCTCCTCCACCCCCGCAGCAGACACGGGGCTCCACAAGCCTTGATCGGGTACGGCGGCAACAACCCGGCGTGGGGACAACCTGGCCTGGACCCAGGGCACGCCAGACGGTGCCAGGCCCTCGGTGGCAGAGATGGAGCTGCCATCCACACGCACCCGCCGCCCGCCCTGTCCCCAGGCCCGTGTCGCCGCGGAGGGCTGGCTGCTGGCACAGGCGGTGAGCGTGGCCCTCCCAGCGCTGCGGGGGGAGGTCTGCAGGCTGCCAGCACCCGGAGAGTCACCGGCTGGCAGGAGAGGTGCAAACAGCACCACCCGGTCACACTTCCTAAGTGCAAGGCCAGGGAGTCTCCGCAGTGCCTGGTTTTGGTGCTGAACACTGCAGCATGCTATTCCCGGTCTCCTCCAGGGCCTTCCCTTTCTTTCTGCATTTTTCCCCCCTTATGTTCCCTTTTAAAAACTCCTTTACAGAAATCAAAAACCCGGTGCAGCTGTTCTGGACGATGTAAATGGGAGACTCCAGACTAGCAGCTCGTCCCTTCCAGCCGCCTGCAAACTCGCAGGACTCTGCAGCTTTCTGCAAACCACCGACCCAGGTCAGGAAGCCAGACTTGTTTGCACAGAGTTCCACAGTGAGATCAATAAGACGCTATTTTTACTGACTTCTGTGAAAACACCTCAGCGCTCTGACACAATAAGAGCCCTGGGGAAGCGGAGACCGCTCCCCACCTCGGCCCCTCTGCCCACGCCAGGACCCTGCGGCCACAGGGGCCGGAGCCGAGATGGCCACACCAGGGGGGCTCCTTGGTGACCGCTGCCATCCGCGCCCCCGCCCGCGGCAGACAGCACCACGGATGACGTTTATTTTTGCATCTTTGCCGACAGCCCCAGCCAGCCGTCACGAGCGGCACCAGCAGCCGGGCGGTAAGTGGCCCGGCCGTGGATACCCCACACGCGGCGCCGAGGACCGACGCTAAAGACGGCGACTGCTCCAAGCGAGGGGCGCGGCTGGGGAGAGGGGGCACCTGGGCAGGAGCGTGCCTGGTTCGCAGGTGTAAGCTGCTTGTTTCTCCTCTGCTGGGACGCTGCTTCCAGAACGCCCTTTGCTAACTCAGTCCTGACATCTCTCAGCCTTCAGCCTCATCGGGCTTCGACTGCACTGAGCCCCGGGTGAGCAGGACCCGGAAACACAGCAGGGATCCCGCTCCCACCGAAACCCCCGGGAAACCTCCGCGGGGACCCCGGGAGACACAGCCGTGGGTAATTCCAGGGATAGGGCCGTGCCAAGCGTCCCTGGCGAGGCGGAGCAGGCGCAGAGAGGCACTCACCGCCACCAAGGCCAAGCCTGACGCCAGATACAGCTGCCGACACCATCTGCTCCCACGGATTCAGCTCAGGGGGTGTTTGTCTTTTCACAGACACGTCTAATGCGCTCTTGAATTTTAAAGCAATAGGTAAGCAGAGTGTAATTTTAAAACTAATTAAAAGAATGCACTGAATAAGAGTTCGGCTTTCCCTTAGGGCAAAGGGTTTATTTTAATTAAAAAAAAACATCAAGAGAAGCACTTGAAAAAGTAAACATTTAAGAAATGTATATTCACACAAAGATCATGTGTGTGTCTCACAGCAATCAGACAAATGCACACCATCCTTCCTCGTCAATGCCAAGGCAACTTCCTACTGCACTACTTTTTTAAGAAGGAGATTTTAATACGTTAAAGATAAGCTTGGCATAGTAAAAAACCAAACCAAACCAAACCAAACCACCCCTAAACAAACCCTTTTTAATAGCAAAGCCTCCGCTGAAGTTGAACAAACAACTCAAGACTGGATGTCTTTTCAAAAAAGCTCCTCCGGGAGTTCACAGCCATGATTCATGAAACAGTAGGTGAAACTCTACGGGCGGTCTCATGAAAAGGCTCCGAGCAGACAGTCAGTTCCCCTTGACCTTCAAAGCTATGAGTCTGCAAAACTTCAGCTTGGGGGGTTACAGATGTGGCATCTGTCTCTGCCGCGGGAGGCGGCCGCAGCCAGCACCACAGCCAACGCCTGTCTCGCACAAGGACACACGTCCACAGGGACCGGTGTAAATGTGAAACAGGGCCTGTAAAAGCACCCACAGGCCAAGTTCAGTACTAACCTGAAGTTGTTTATTGCTCTGAATTACCAATCTGACATCTCTTAGCAGATACGGAGGAGGCTGGAGCGAAAGGGGAAGGGGAAAGGCAGTGTGGAGTGAACCCCCCCAGCTTTCTATCCCAGCAGAGACTGAAGCGAGCTCCGTGCTCACACCGTGACACTGCCAGCCGCTGCAGTGTCACCCCTGTTCCGGTTCAGCCGTCGTGCGTGGTGACAAACCCCCCACAGGACAGCGCTCCCCGGCCCTCCCCGCGCTGCCAGGCCAGAGCGGGTCACCGCAGCCTCACACGGGGCAATTCTGAGGAAAGAAAAGGGAGCTGTGGCACCCCAGATCTAAATCAAGATGAAATGAGAATGCGCTTCTTTATGGCAGGAAATAGACAATTTAAATAGAAAATCAGGGGTGGGAGGAATCCATCCCCACTCCCTAAACATCAGTTTTGCTCGTTTGTTTTCCTCCCGGAGGCAAAGAGCCGCAGCGGCGGGGGGGACGGGGTTCCTCCCTGCAGCCCCCGGTGCAGGGCCAGGCGCCGCGGGGCAGGGAGGGGGCTGGCTGCGGCACGGCAGCGCAGCGGGCGGGAGGGGGCCCGGGCGGGTCAGACCCCCCAAACCCACCGCCGGGACGGGACCGCAGCAAGGCACCGCACGGGGGGCCAGGGATGGTGCCGAGGCAGCCGCACAGCCCCCGCCTGAGGCCCTTCCCAAGGAACTTCATCTGCTTCCTGGGGATGGAAGATGCTGTGGCCGTGGGGCAGCTTCCAATTCCTCACTGATTTCTCCTGGGGAGGGGGAACCACCTGGGTTCCCACCGTGCCTGGGCACTTCGAGAGATTCCCCAAAGAGCCACAGGGCAGCGGGGGGACATCGTGTAGCCTCATAACCCGTACACATGTTCCTCATCAAGCACAATCCAGGCCTTGCCAACGACTTCACCGTTGCAGGGGTGATAAAGGACGGATAAGAGAGGAGCATCCTGCCCCAGAAGGAGCCAGAGGCCGGATGGTTGCCCAAGAAGCATGAAATCAGCAAAAATCTGCAGAAACTGGGGGAGCAGTAAAGGTGGCAGGGGGAGATCACAACCACTAACTCAATTCAAGACTGAAAAAACTTGCCCCCCGCAAGGAGCATGCCTGCTAATTTCTCCAGCAAGAGAAGCTAATTTAAATATAGCTCACCAATAGCAGGTGGAACAGCGCTTACGGGCCAAGGAGCGTAAACTTAGACAGGTTTTCGATTCATCATAAATAGGCTGGAGTTCCTCCATGTGGCGCCCCTCGCACCCTTCTGTGCAGCTCGGGAATAAAGGGGATCCCAGCCCCGGGTGTGAGCGTGGCTGTTGCTCGCCGGCCCTGGCGGCTCACGGCGGGGAGGAGAGAGGAGCAGGGCAGAGCTGTAAGGCCCCGCTCATCCAGTGCCGAGTTTCAGCGGCGGATCTGCCGGTACCACCACCGTCCTGCGCGCACGCTTCCACAAGAAACCCTTTCATGGGAGCTCTGACTGCTATCTGTTGGGGTTTGTCCTCATTTTGATGGTGCGTGGTGACAGCGATGGTTAGGGCAAGGCAGCTTGCTCTGGCACAGACGAGCAATACAAGCCCTGGGGGAAGCACCCCTGCCTGCTTCACCCCGGTTTAGACAAAGATGAGCTGTTGTGGCCAAGCCTAAGACTTGTGCTGGGCCCAACCCAGCTGCTGCCCACGAGCAGACTGCTCCACGGTCGGCCGCGCGCGGTGCCGGCCTCCTGCAGAGACACCTCGTGCCAAACGCCTTCCCGGCCGCGTCACCGACACCAGCCACCGCTCGGGGAAACTCGATCTTTTTGCCATTTAAACTGTATGTGAATCAGTAACGCTGCCCACATTCATTTCTAAATATAAGGGAAACCTGAAGTTGTAAGTGCAACGTGGCTCCTCCGTGCAGGAGGGTTGGATCCGAAGGGGAGCGTCCGCGCGGAGCGGTGCCGCTGCCGGCAGGACGTCAGAGCCTCGAGGGCAGCCGAGAGCAGGAGGGGGGCTGACGACGGACACGTTTCCGTTTGACGCTGACCTCACAGCAGCCTGAACGCTGGATTGTCAAAGATTATTGAATCGCCTGCGACTCGGAGGAAAACAGGGAGTCACGGGTTTGCAAAGTGTCCCGGCGGTCACCGGCACGGCGGCTCCCGGCACGCCCTCGCCTCTGACGGGGCTGCCAGCGCCCACAGCCAAGGAAGATGTGCCGGGACAAGGCAAAACCCCGACGATATATCACCGCGTTATGAGACACGAGGTCGACAGCTGATGGCTTCAGTCGCTGAGGAGATAATGGATGCTGGATGGCGTCCAACACTCCGAGCGCCTCCCAGCTCGGGAGAGCTCTCCAACCAAGCGAGTTTGGCCATCTGTCCCAGCCCCGCCACCTCGACTCAGAACTGACACAGCCCGAAACCGCCCTCACGAGCAGAAAACAGGCCCGGCCGCCCGGTCAGCTCACGAGACGACACGCACCGGCACCAAAAGCAGAAGCAGGGGACCCGGCCCGACAGCCCCGCTGCGCCGCGGGGCACCCAATCCATCCCCAGCCTATTTTTATCGGTGGGCAGCAAAGCTAAGCGATGCTCAACACCACGGTGCCAAATGTGTGAGCCACGAGACAGCTCTGCCGGAGCTGCCGTGCTCGGGTGGCTCGCGGGGCGCGCTCACATGCCCCGGAACCCGTGCCAAACTTCTACTAATAAAAGAGACAGAGTCAGTCCCCAGCTCCTGTGACTGCAGCGAACTTTCCAAATGCCAGAGCAAAACTGGTGCAGAGAGGTCCCCTTGCGACAGCCCCTGATTTAGAGCCTTACCCTTCTGTTTCCTAATTATTCCTGGATTATCAATTTTGCATAGGTTAACGCTGACAACCGTAACAGCCACCACGGGCTTTCCTCCGTGAACATCTTAACGGCAAGAGAAGAAGGGGGAACTGGAAGAGGAGAAGGAAAGGTGTTGAAAGTGAAACACGACGGATTAAAACTTTTTGCAAGGAGAAATGAACAGAGAAAGGAGCACTGGCATTTTGGGATGGGAAGGAAAAGGAAGTCCTGTTGCAAAAGAATAAGAAGTGAATAGAAAGAGGAAGACCACAAATGTCACTCATTTCCTCCAAGGAGTAGCAAACACATTCATACAGGCGCGAACAAATCATTAAGCATTTGTTTCCTCATTGTTACAGCTATTTCATGCCTGGTTTTGCCAAGTCTGAGAAGCACGAGCTGGGACTAGCGGAGGGCAGCTGCCGCTGCTCCAGCCCAAGTGTCTCTTTTCTCAAAATGGTTCTTCAAACGTCTGTCACACGCGTGTCCGGACAGACAGACTCCCGAGGGCTGCCGCCGGGGGATGGAAATGCTGCCTGCTATTCAGGGGACAAAATGCTCCATTCGCTCACACGCAGCCATAGCCAAGCTCAGCACCAGCCTGGGCCACAGATGAGGGCACAGGGAGCAGGGGGGGTTCTGGGAGAGCCAAGGCCTGGGAAGGGGGCGAAAACACCAAAGAGGGCAACGGCTCGCATTTCTTTTTGGGTCAAGTATAACCCCTGGGCTCCAGCTGACACAGCAGCTGGGCACGGAGTCGGGCTACAGATTCTCCACTGCAGCCCAACAAGAGTGACCCAACGCAGGGCTTTGCAGGGCTACGGGGTGATGGAAACCCAACACCACCACCAAGGAAGCGCTCCAGAAGGCAGCCATAGCTGTCTGCCTGCACCAGCACCAACGCCAGCTCACTGATGAAAACCCGTTGCTCCTACACGTTCCGGTGCTCAGGTTAGGCCCACGGGGGTGCTGGTTGAGCACAAAGGCACTTGTAGGTACCACCTCAGAGGTGGGGAGGGGGTTCTGAGGGCTGCTGGGCAGATGCAGGGTGGCTGCACGTCAGGGCCAGTGCTCAGAGGAGCCCCACATTGTCACGACCAAGCTCTGCACGGTGTCACCCAACACTTTCTCTCCTTCCGAGCACCCAGAAGCACAGGACCTGATGCGTCAGGCATGAGGGAAAGGCATGCTCTAAAGGTCTGGGCAAGACTGGGTTAAAACAGGCACAAGAAGGTCCAAGGGGAAAGTAAGAAGAGCCACAGGCAGCATGCAACACACAAGAGAAACTAATTAAAAAGTATTCTGAGAACAACGTGGCAGGTATGAGATTAAAAACCAAAGCTTTCAGCTATTTCTTTGAAGATTTTAGTTTGCGTTTGGGAAGGCTGCCAAAATCGATAGCGCGCGTGAGCAGGACACCAGTGACGGCACCAGAAGACCTTTGAAAGCAAACGTCCTCCACGAGTCCTACCTTAGCAACCCGCCAGCGGTGCCCCGGGACCTCCCGGCCTCTAACAGCACGTGGGCCTAAGAGCACATTCACCACGATTAGGTACCCTGACAAGAGCCTCTGCTCTCGCTGGCAAGACTTCAAAGCGGCACAATCTACTTGCCTTTAACAAAATACGAGATACTTACCCATTAATATACTCAACAGCTTTTGAACTCTAGAGTTTACTCCAACAATTCGGTAGAGCCCTTGTTCATTGATCCCTAGGAAAAATAAAGAGCTTATTAGGAGAATGTCACCAGAGCTACTAACATTTCTTTCATTTCTTTGGCTTCTCTAACAACAAAAATAATTAAACCCTCTCACCGGCTACATACAAAATTACAGAAAGTTTTGATGTCAGGGCTTCCATGTATTGATTAAAAGTATGACCCCCAATTAGCTGAGGAATAAAAGCTCTAAGGACACCTTTCCACCACGACACCGTCAGGAAGGGAGCTCTGGCTGCACCAGGAAGGATCTGCACTTTACATACAACACAAGGGCAATTCTGGAAAATCTTACTGTGCCAAGTCCTTCACGTTGAGGTCTGAGCCTTTTGCATGTTCTTCGAACAACGAGGCCTTGACCCAAACAACTCGCGAGGGCAGAGAGCAGCCAAGGACGTGGTGACAGAAGCCCCGTCACACCCCAGCTGGGCTGTGCGGCTCCTCCCCGGCCGGAGCTCCCTCAACTTTCCCCAAGAACTGCACTTGACATGTTTGGTTCATCTACCCATTTGTTTCTTTTTCTCTTCTTTTGGGGTTTTTTTTTTTTTGCCCCCAGGTGTTCCTTGGCTCTCCACACCAGTGTACTGCTGCCAGTATTCCAGGGAAAACATCACATTTGAACAGCCCAGAGTATCTTACACTGCCTATGGGCAGAAGAAGGCCCCAGTGAAAGAACACGGGCAGAAATATTGCCTGCTCAGAGCCCTGCTCAGCCCAAATTTCCATGTGAGACCCACATTTCACCATAAGGGCTCCCGAGACAGCCCCTTGGATCTAAACAGCCTTTGCAGGAGGTTTAGGGGAAGGATTGCAAAGCCCATCTACCCGTTACTGCACACCAGAGGGAGCGCCGTGCGGCAGCACCGCACCAAGGGATGCTCAGGTGAAGTCCCTTCCCCCATTTTGCACATCCAGTGCAGTATTTTTGCCCTGATGTTTGCTTAAGCCCCCACTAACTCCAGCCACAGGGCAAACGCGCGTCCCAGCGAAGGCCTGGGCGTATTACAGGGTTTATCTGCTGTGGGTCTCCGAGGATTAATGAATCATTTTTGTTCATGAAAAGAGCAAATAAGCAATTGCTCTGCTGCAAGGCCATCCCCCAAAACCAGACCATCTGGTGAACTGCTCTACCTCTTGTTTCGACAGCGTGTATGCATTTCTTGATAATGCTGAAGCCGATATTATCCAACTGGGCAGCTGAAAGGGAAGAGAAGAGAGGAGAGATCAACCCCGAGCAGAGGGATGGCATCGGCGGGGCAGAGCCCGCAGTCCCCACCGACACGCACAGCACCACCGTACCGCTGCTCCCACGGCGCAGGAGCAAGAGGGGAGGCACGAGGGGTTCAGGGGGGAAAGGCACGAGTACAGCAGCTTACACCAGGTGTAACCCGGGCAAGCACAGAACGCTGATCTGTCCTCGCAGCCCCCGCGTCCCTCTGAGGCAGCACCTCCCACGCCTGCCGAGCAGCAGAGCCCCGGGCTCCGCCAGGCGTTTACGTCTGCAGTTGGTCAAAATATTAATTTAGGATCAAGGTGAGATAACCCGAAGAGACCTCTGTCTGGGAAGCTGACAGCAGGATGCTTGGAAAAAAAGGGAATTGTATGTATCTGTGACACAATAAATCCTTCAAAATGGCACACGAGGCAGCTTGCTTGATGAGCCCCAGGTAATTCCTATAAATCCTTCCAGCTCTCCACCCAGCTACCCAAATGACCCGTGTGCCGGAGAGATGCCTTCACCGCGAGGCCACCTCCATCACCACACACCGGGGACCGCCGGCACACCTGGGGTACGGGACTGACCCCCCCCCGGCTGCGCCCGGGGCGGGGCATGGGGGCCTTTGCTGCCTCGGATTTCTGCTTGGGGCTTCTGAGGCGGTTTTATGTGGATGCAGGGTTTTTCAAGGACAACTCCCATGACAAGTCAGAGCCCTGAAAAGTGATGGTAAAAGGGGAAACAGGTGGAAAAGAGAAACAGGAGATAACTAAGCAGCAGCTGTGAGGGAAAATGGAGTAAAGAAATCAAAAGAAAGGTGAAAGCATGGAGGTAAAAATGTAACACAGAGAGAGCTGACGGCATGTGGAGGTGGAAGAGCAACAGGGACTGGGAGATGGGAATGAATTTCAGATCAAACCTCCGTCTGAAGCATCTCCCGTGCCCAGCGGGAGGGGACCTGTCCCTGGGTCAGCACCAACCCCAGCCGCCCACCCTGCCGGCACCCTGCTCTCTCACGAACACTGCACCTACTTCCCATTTACCCTCACTCTTTGCAGCTGTGCACACTTCAAGAACAGCCCCTTCTTTTATTAGCACAAATGAAATAGTTATTTGGTGCAAATTAGGATGTCCTGAAGGCAGCTGACGCTGCCTGAGAGTAAGATCTAAAACATTTGTGTTAATGGAATGTAAAACTCAATTAACTCATGCTGCTGCAGGTTTTCATATGTAATTTCAAGGAATTACTAATACTCAGATCCAAATACCTGCTGGAAGAACTCATCCCTTAGTCAGCTTTGCCCCGTTCCATGGCAAACCCTGCCCGCAGACAGCTATTTGTAAGGAAAATTACTTCCTCCCTACATAAAGGTTTGGAAACCTTTCACATAGCAGAAGCCCCGTGGAACAGGGTGTGTGAAGTCACCGTGGGCTCCAGGGCTGAGCCGAGCACCCTGGGCAGAGGAGAGGGGAGCCGGGACACGTGGCCCACCCGCCCGCCTTGTGTTACCTCAAAGCCAAAGCCTCTCACCACAGCTGGCCCTCGAGCTGATGGGGATCCCCAGTCATGAGCTGATGGGGATCCCCGGTCACCCCTTGAGCTGCTGGGGATCCCTCCCTGGTCACCCCTCGAGCTGGGGGGACGCCTCTGCCCCCGCTGCCATCCCTCCTCCCACACAGCCTGGGCCCAGCAGACGGGAGAAGCGTCACCGGGGACCGGGGCAGAGCCACGACCCACCGCACAGGGAAGGAGCCGGATTCTCCCGCCCGCGCCTGAGGGAGGATGGCCCAGCGCGGCCGCCCGGTTCAAGACACTGAAGCCCAGAAGACAGAAAAGGCACAGCCTCAGCTCCGAACCAGACAACTGACTACGTCGGCACAGACTGGCAGGAAGGCCGTGTGGTAAGAGACACAAAACTGCATTTTACCGAGAGCGCAGCAGGAAGGGATCAGAGCCCAGGGCTGGCAGCGTCCTCCCAGGCAGGCACGTGCAATTTTACTCCTTTGCATTCCCCCTGTTCACATCATTTATTTAAACACAGATTCTCTGCTGGTGCACGATCAGCTGCCAGCTCACTGCCTGCCTATGGCTCGCACGGCGCAGTCCTTTACTAATCACTTGTTTTGAGCTCTGCTGGTGGCGTTTCTTGTGTGATGAATGGCACAAGAACCTGAAACAGTGAAACAGCTCTATTATATTTTTCTGGGCAAGCACAGCGAAGTGCTGAGCCAACATAAGCACACAAGTCGCAGGGTGCCTGTGCCATAGGATGTACGAATATCCAGAAGCTCCAGGGCCCTTTGCTGGGCACCCGGAGGCTTCCCCAGCACCGCCCCCAACCAGGCTCCAAGCACAGCTCCAGCAGAAAATCCCTCAGCGGGGCACAGCCCGCCACAGCCCAGATCACTGATAAACACAGCACGAGGTAACCTGAGTCGCAAGAAAACCATGCCCTAGACCAACCTTTTGGTACAGGTACAACACCAACCCTTCCGTACAGGCAAACCCGGCTCAGCAGGACTAATTCACCTTGGCTTAGTACTGGCCATAACCCTGATCTTACGGTGTTCCTGCACGGTGTTGTCCAGCCAACACACATCACCGCTCCGGGCTCCCTGCCACGCACTTGAAGTGCCAACCCATTCCATAAAGCAGCAGTTTTTTCCCCTCAGTCCCTTGCGGGTTTGAATGTGAGCATGAGACAGCCCCCCACAGAGCCCACCGCTCCCCACAGAGCTCACTGCTCCCCACAGAGCCCACCGCTCCCCACAGAGCTCACTGCTCCCCACAGAGCCCACCGCTCCCCACAGAGCTCACTGCTCCCCACAGAGCCCACCGCTCCCCACAGAGCTCACTGCTCCCCACAGAGCTCACTGCTCCCCACAGAGCTCACTTCCCCCCACAGAGCCCACTGCCCCCCACAGAGCCCACTGCTCCCCACAGAGCAGGCAGCCAGGATGCGCTGCCACGCAGCGCTGGGTGACCGCAGGGGTAAGAAATCACGCAGCCCTTCCGGAGGGAAGTGACCAAGCATAATCCTCCTAAGCAGATGAATAAGCTCTTCCACTCGTTGCTGAGCTCTGGATCAGGAAAGGTCGGGGATTTATTTGCAGTAGTTACATCCAGAAATAATATCTGATTAAATATCCAAAGTGCCTCTATTCATCCTTAAATTTAACTTTTAATGAGCATTGTAAAAGCTTGATTTCCCCTCTCACCGAAGCAGCTTCTCTTTATCTCATTCATTTACCCAATGATTCTGTTCAGCAACAGCACAGATCCAAGTCGGATTCGTATCTGCTGCTGTCCAGATCCCACACGTGCTCCATCCCGCCGGCAGCACAGCGATGCACAGCCCCGAGCCTTGGTCCAGCCCCTTAGACCTTGCTTAGCTCCTGTTTGATTCCATGGACCTGGCAGCTGCAGCCAGACCAAGCCGGGCCTGTCACAGCCCCATCCTTGTCCCCAGTCTCCTCCATGCCCCGACAGCAGGACTAGAGCAGAGAGAGGGTTCAGCAAGATTAACAAAAAAACTCCAAGCCCGCTCTATCAAAAACCCACCAAACAGGCCGTCAGCCAGCTGACCTCAATGAGAGCTGCCGCTGCAGCGAGGCAGAGGTGTGTGTATGGAGGGAGGGGACCCAGAGCCCACGCTCAGAAGGATTTAAACCACGGTGGAGCTGCCTCCTGCCATCACCTGGGGCCAGGCAACAGGAGAGGGAAGGCGGCGGGGAGGAGCGAGCTCCCGGGGCTGCCGCAGGAAAGTGTGGCCAACTCTTCCCAACAGACATCCCTAACCCCTGCCCTGTAGGTTTAAAACGGCCCCTCAGAGCCTATGGCCCAGGCTCCTGCTATTCCCCCTCCCTGGAGGCTCATTCCCCAGGGGAAAGATTGAAAAGCAGCTCCAGGCCAAGATATGTCTCACTGGCTCTTCGTACGAGAGCAGCGTTTCAACCCACCGCTGAGATGCAGTATTCACTGCGGTCCAGCAGAGACATTCCACATCAGCAAAGGTGACACACATGGCCTCTGTTACAGCTGTTGCACACACACACACACTTATCTGACCTTCACGCAGCATCGTATTTCGAGTGTTACTGAGCTGCTCTCATCCTGTTCTATTTTTGCCTAGCAGACTATTCCTATTTAATCCATTAATTCCTTTACTTTATGCTGATAAGGCACATCAGAGCATCGGTAAGGGGGCAAGAAGACTGAATCAGCTCTGTTCAACCTCAGGCAACCTTGCTGATTCCAGATGCGTGCGTGTCAGTCGTGGCAACGCAAGGTCAAAGCAAGCTCGTCTGCATACCCCACCACACGCTTCTGTGCCCAGCAATGAAGTGCCATGGTGATAAATGCTTTCAAAGGCTTGATGGAATGAAGAGCCACGGAGAAAGGGAGAAACCAAGCAGCAGAGGCCAGAGAGAAATGAGTTGTCAAGTCTCAAACTACCAGCCAGCTGCCAAGATTGGGAAATGAAGATGGTTGGGGAGGGCCAGGCCACCCGGAGAGGCGCACGGGGCAGTCAAGGGACGCAAGGTCTGTGAGGAGCTTCTGAAAGTAAAGACAACTTCTGATGAGGTCCTGAACTAACGGAGAACCAAGTGGATGTGGAAAAAGGAGAGGGAAATGGTGGGGAGGGGAAGGGAGAGGAGTCCTTCTGTGCTTTTCCGTGCGGTAACTGCAAATTACCTGGACTAAAGTGCAAACCAGGGCAAGTGCTCCTGGTTTGCAAACCAGCACCTCTGAATTCAGCCTGCTCGGCACCACTTCCTCCCACCTCCCAAAGATTAAAACAAATCACCCCGTAGGCTGATGGCCATCTGGCCACACAGCAGGAGGCAAAACCCAAAAGCTCTGTAAAATAAGCGACCAGAAAGCAGAGCTCACTATAGCCCCGGGAGCCTCTCTCCGACCAACGCCCGTAGGGGCAGGAAGCAGAGGGACCGAGGTGTGCAGGGTCAGGAGCTGCACCCGGACTCCACTCCATCACTGTGCTCGGTGAGCCCTCACAGGAAGCTCCTGCATCAAGGGCTGCGTGGCAGAACGCCAGTCTCCGAATCAAACTGAAGTGTAGCTGATGAGGCAAGCAGTTCGCTACAGACATGGTTTTAATGAGGACTAAAGCAGAGTCAGATGTCTGAACACACCAGCGGCAGCCCCGGTCAGAGGCGTGTGTGAAAATATAATTGTCACCAGAGAGTTCAGGAGCTCGGCTACGTCAGCAGCCTCCAGCCGAGGGTCCCACCACGCTGCCCGCAGCCGGGGAGGAGCCTACAGAGCAGACAAGGGGGATTCGCGTTTCTAAGACGGACCATCAAAATGGAAAAGGTGCTAAAAGATAAGAAACTTTGCCAAAGCCTTCTCCGCTGATTAAACCCCAGCTTTGCACTCGTCCGGTGACGACGTGCAGGGACAAACATGACGGGTCTCGTTACGCTTTGCCAACCGCTGAGCTGCTTCGGAGGGGCACGACGCCCAACCAACCTTCCCGAGAGGCACCGGCAGCCCAGGGCCGGGCTGGGAACCCACAGGGGAGGCTGGAGCCTGGGAACAAACCTGCCTTCTCCTCAAAGCCGCCGCCCGACGGGACGAGACGTTCTCCTCCGACACCTACACCCACCTCAGATTAAGCCCAGGAAAATCATGGATTCGTATGCCAGCAGCGGCCGGAGCAGCCAGCCTGCTCCTGCCCACACTCTGCTGGCACGGGCCTCACAACTCACCACGGGCAGGAGCTGGGGCTCGGGCAGGACCAGCCTGGCCAGGAGGAGCCCGGGGGCAGCCCCACCACCCAGAGAGCCCTTCCCGACAGGGACCCTAAAGAGGCATCCAGGAGCCCCGACCTGGGATCCGCAAGCTTGGCCGCTGAAGACCGGGATTAAACCATACAAATAACCCTGGGAAAGCCACGGATGCACTTGACTCGAGCTCTTCCCATCCCTCAAAGAGCCGCTGTTCCTCTGCAGGATGACTCCAGCCTCAGTCACGGCCCCGGGAGGATTTCTGGCTGATGGGAAACGTAAGATGGGAAGGTCACAGTTTGACAAGTGCTTCTTTCAGAAGCCGTAATTACTTCACCAATCCTTCTTCCCGCCCCCATCCTTAATGTTTTCCCTGCTTTTGCATCATCCCTCAACAAAGTTTAGAAAACTTTTTATTTTAACACGTTTCTTGAGCCAGATCACCACGCACTGTCTTGGCAGAGCCAGAGGTTGTGTGCAGGGAACACGGAGAGTGGTGACAGTTCATGGCCGGGGTAGGACAGAGTTGAGCAAGTCCTGTTCTCTGTGCCTCAAAAAACTCATTTTATTCCTCTGTAAAATAGACAAAAGACAGAGCTGTTCTACACAGACTCCAAACCCAGCTGGGGCATTAGCCACACCATCCTGCACGAGCGTCAGGATCAGCTGGGTCGCCCGAAGGATCCATGAGGATCAGCTGGGTCACCCGAAGGATCCATGAGGATCAGCTGGGTCACCCGAAGGAATACCCACGGGATGAGATGGATGTGCAGCTGACAACACAGAGGAGCAACAGGGAAGGGAGAACCCACTTCAGAGGGAGCAGAGAGGAGGAGGAGACTGTTCTGTACAAGGGCTGAAAATAGGTGTGAGGAACATTATCTGCAAATTATACCTATTACTGTGAGAAAAATGCTTCTACTCAGGATGAAAATGCCCCGAGGCAGCATGAAAATGAACTGTTTACTAACCATCAACCCAGGCTGGGCTCCCACATGACCAGTGACTTCGGGGGAAGGAGGGAAGGGATCAGAGTTTTGAGTATTGCAATTGTGGCAATTCAAACCTACTGGGAAATGGCTCAGTTAAGGGTTTTGAAACACAGGACGAGCCAGGACCAGATGCAACCACTCCTCTAGAAAGAAAAACAAGTGCTTTCTTGACCCAAGTCTTTGATTGCCCGAACTACAATAAAAACAGCTGCTATTTTTTTTTTTTTATTAGGGGCTCTTGTTGACAATCCTGATCAGGTGCAACCTCCTAGTCTTTATATTTTTGCTCCAATTTCCCTTTGGAAAAGGCACATTCATGCTCCAGATTCCGGTTCAGAAAGGAGAGCTGGTTGGCCCAAGATGCCACCTGCACCCGTTGGCTGTGATAAGCAGAAGCTGGACCTGAGGCACACCAGGACCCTCTGCCCTGCTGCCATGGCCTGGGGACACCAGGGCAAGGGGGGGACGCACCCCAAAGTGCCAAGGGAACAGCCCAGCTCCGCTCTCTGTGTCCCCAAGTCCCTCCACCAAGTTTCTGTGCCTGTTCCCTGCTGGGTGCGGGACCCAGCGTCTCCCTGGAGCCACCCTGCAGTCCCCAGGCTGAGCCCCGTCACCCCACAGCCCTGCTCCACGGGAGCACAGCCCGGTGTCACCGGCACCCGCAGCTCAGCTGCTCCTGCTGCCCCCCAAACTCTGCACACCACAGCACTGCCACCTTCCCCGGGGGCTGGCCCGGAAGGAAATACTTACTGCCTTCGCTCTGGTTGTCCTTGTTCGAGTTGTAAACCTGGAAAACACAAGAAGAAAGTCTTATGAAGACCCTGGCTCCACCTGGGACGGGACTGCTGACAAGCCTGGTGTCCCCCTGACCAGTGACAGCTGGCGGGAGGACCTGCCTTGACCTCCCACCGCAGCCTTCTGCATTCCCACCGCCAGGCTGCCACAGCTTTGGGGCTGGACTGCAACAGCTAGGACAGTTCTTACAAGGAGAGAATGCAAATGGGACGGACTAGGTAAAAACAGAAACTAAAGGGGCTTTTAAACAAAACAAAGGGGGTCGTTCCTCTCCGCCAAGCTCTTCTCGAAGACACACATAAAGGATATAAACTCAGAGCAGAGCAGACATCTTACACCTCTGCATCCTACGGGCATTACAGTAACATCTGGTAGGTGCAACCCCGACAAGCAGGGGGAAGCCACCCTCACTCACAATCATTTACAGCCTGAATGAGTCAGTCAGGCAAAGGGTAAGAGAGGGAAAGAAATGTCATTAATGTAGAGAGGACCTGAAACGCAGGATGAGGCAATGCACCCAACACTGCTCGTGACAGAGCCACCCTCCGCCTCAGCGCCAGGACTTCATCCCAAGACTCTCCTGCCCTCAAATATTGGTGCTCCTCCTCCTGTCCCAATCACTACTACAGCTTGGCTACTTTAAAGTTCCCATGTGTACAGTAAAAAGGAGAAGAACAATAGGAGAAGGTTTTAATCACAGTTTGAGGACGATTTAAAAGCCGCGCATAATGAAAACGGCGGCTACAAGATCAGCCTTCAGACAGGTTGCATTTCTCCAGCTTCACAGAGTAAAATGTTTTAAAATAATCCTTCATCACCCCCGAGCCCCGACAGAAACACACACACAGGCCGGCGCTCCATCAGCATCGCGAGGGGAGCCGAGCGCGGCAGCGTCCACCCGTGCAGGCTGTTGAACAAAGCCGGCGGGAGCACACCCTTCCTCTGTGGGAACAAAGCTGGGAGCCCCCTGCCACCGCAGCACCGGGAACTGATTTAATCACATGCCACCTCCAGAAATAGCAAGCGGGGAGGGAAAGTTTCCAAAGGCAATGTTGATAGCAACACCCAAGGCAGCAACGGCCAACACATCCGAGGGGAGCGGGGAGGAGGAGAGGCTCCCACCTGCCAAGGCAGGCAAGTGTTCCTCGACCCTTCCCACCACAGGACCCCAATTAACAATATTATAAAGCAATAAAATAACAATAAAATCCCCCAGGGCTCGGTTTTGGGGCCGATCCTGTTTAACACCTTTACTGATGATCTGGACGAGGGGATCGAGTGCCCCCTCAGCCAGGTTGCAGATGACACCCAGCTGGGTGGGAGTGTGGGTCTGCTCGAGGGCAGGGAGGCTGCAGAGAGCCCTGGGCAGGCTGGAGCGCTGGGCTGAGCCCAACTGGGGGAGTTTCACTGGGGGCAAATGCCGGGGGCTGCCCTTGGGCCACAACAACCCCCAGGGGGGCTACAGGCCTGGGGAGGGGCGGCTGGAGAGCTGCCGGTCAGAGAGGGACTGGGGGGTGAGAATGAGCCAGAGTGTGCCCAGGGGGGCAAGGAGGGCAACGGCATCCTGGCTGGTGTCAGCCCTGGCGTGGCCAGCAGGGACAGGGACGGGATCTGAGCCCTGGGCTCGGCACTGGGGAGGCCGCCCCTCGATTCCTGGGTTCAGTTCTGGGCCCCTCACCCCAAAAAGGCCATTGAATGACTCGAGCGTGGCCAGAGAAGGGCAACGGAGCTGGGGCAGGGTCTGGAGCACAGGTCTGCTGGGGAGCGGCTGGGGGAACTGGGGGGGTTCAGTCTGGAGAAGAGGAGGCTGAGGGGAGACCTCCTGGCCCTCGGCAACTCCCTGCCAGGAGGGGGCAGAGAGGGGGGATGAGTCTCTGGAGCCAAGGCCCCAGCGCCAGGCCCCGAGGGAATGGCCTCAAGCCAGCCTTGCATCAGCCACCCCAGACACGTTCAGGGAAGGGCAAATCTAATGGCACAGCTCAAAAGTGGGGGTTTGGGCAGAGATTGACCCCTCCACGCTAATTCCCACTCTCCCTAGGATATTTCCCGAGGAGCTCTTTCCCCCTCCTGGGGCACCTAGCTATGCAACATAAGACAAAGGAGATATTTTTGTTTGCAGGAGAAAAATCTATCACCCCACATCTGGAAACTGGGGGATGATTCAGCAGCAAAACCAGCTGTAGTCAGCAAGTGAGTTTTCCTCCAGGAATAGCGTTTATATCAAGAAAATAAAATAAGTGAAAAGGGAAGGAAACCACCAGCAGGCTCCTCTGCCGGTGGTGCTGTTGAGCAGCCCTGGCCACAAAGACAATTTTCCCTAAAGAAGTTTTTCTCTCCGACTTCAGTGTTGAGGGCTTGTCGAAGGGACGAGGGAGAGAGCTCGGGGGGACTCTTACCCAAAGGCTTGCAGGCGCACGGGATCCCACGCAGACCCCAAGCCCTGTGCTCTGCCCTGCCTCGCTCCTGTGTTTGGGACACCAAAATATTTTCCAGTTCTCCTGGGTGAACCCAGCTTTCAGCCACTTGCTCTGGCCCCTGACCCACGTCCCAGCACAGATTTGCTACCTGCTGGGTTCCTCCGCTGCCCAGGCCCACAGGACACGGTGCCCGGCACATCAGCCACAGGGAGAAATGTGTCTGCCTGAATATTCCTCCAGTTCGGTTACATGAAACAATAGAGGGGTTGTTAGTCATCAGTTCTTCAAAAAAGGGAGAAGGATGGACAAGGAAGCACAATATACTTCTGCTGTTAATTGCGAAGTGTGTGCACAGTGAAAGGAAATTTCATGCAGAGGTCAACTATGCAACCATAAAACAAGGAGATACTGTCACCCGACATCCATCTTATTAAGGAGAAACCTTTGATTCATTGTCAGCGTGTTAATCTATTAACACAACTCTGCAACATCAGGGTTTTAACCAAGCCCCAATTCTGTAGTATCATTTCCTTTTCCAAGAAAAACATTACTTTGAAAAAAGAAATCCTTTCCCCATACCGCCTCAAGCCTTCTGAAGAGAGAGATTTTTCAGGATAAGAGAAAGTTTCCAAGATTGAAGAAAGGTCTGCTCTGTATGGGGCCCAAGAGCGACGCTCCCCCAGCACCCCAAGGGCCGACATCTGCCCCGCTGTCACAAACGTGCCCTCAGTGCCCCCAGACCGGGCTGGCCCGGCCCGCAGAGACCCCGGGGGGTCTTGGCATGGCAAAGGTCACCTCGGCTTTATGGGTATTAATATTCTGCTCTTTCCAAAATAGCTTTGATAATATGCAGGGGTTAAAGCACAAGGATGCATTTTAAGATTAAGCCTCATATGCAAGTCAGTCAGCCGGTGGACCAACTCCGTGCGAAAGGCTGCTGCATTTTAAAGAGGTTCTTACTATTCATTATACCCGAGTCTCCATTGATTACTGACAAAAATAAAGTTACAGATTGTTCAGACAGAAGCGTGTTTCCCCTGCACCATCCTCCCTGTGACTCCACCACACTGTTACACTGTCAATTCATCTTTACAGCACCACAGAAAATTATAAATCCAATCTTCTGCCAAGGGACGGAGGCCCTGAGCTCCCTGGTGCTCCCCGGGCGCTCCCAGCCCCCCGATGCTGGGAACAGGCTCAGCCACCCAGTCCAGGACAGAGAAACTCAGCACGGCTGGGGAGAGCCCCAGGGAGCCCCACAGCTGGCGGGATGCTGGGCCTGTGTTCCGAGCGCGGAGATGAACGAAGCCCTCTGTATAGAGGCTGTGAAGCCACCTGTGGCCTCCCAGGCCCCCCCTCGCCCCTCGCGCAGAAGCACGGTAGACGCAGCCAGTGCAGCACCTGCGGCCGTTTCGGTGGCTGTTTCTCCTTTGCCACGTTTGAATCCAGCCCAGGGCCGCCGTCGCCCTGCTGCCTGCCCTCCACACCAAGCCCGGCTCTGCCCCAGCCACCCGCGCCGGCTGCTCTGCCAGGAAACCCCTCGCCTGGCTGCGTAAGGGACTCAAATACTTCCCCATCGGATTTGGACGGCAAAGGAGCGAACACTCATGAAATGGTTGTGCAATCTCCACGGCAGTGCCTGCTGCCCTGCTGCACTTGCTGCTGGCAGTGCCCGGACGGGCATCACCGGGGCACAGGCATCACTGGGCCATGGGCATCACCGGGGCAGGAGCATCACCGGGGGCACCGGCTGCCCCGGACACAGAGACTGCCGTGCCCGGGGTGGGCACACAGCATCGAGACGTGCAGCTGTGGCCACGTCTGGCCCGGCAGAGATGGGACCCAGACTGGGAGTGCTCAGCCTTCAAAACCCTTCTCTAAACCCTCTTCCAAACAACTCCCAAGCAAAGAGAAAGGGAGATATATTTTTTTCCCCCTCCCACAATCCCCTCTCCTGCATTTCTGGGCACAGTTCTGGCTGTGCAGGCTGTCTGGTGCGGGCTCACGGGGCTCTGGTGCTTGTGCCAGCCTAAGAGCGAAGAGGTAGCGGGGCTACACCTCACAGGGTAACAGCATTCAACAGGCAGCGTGCGGGAGGTTTGCTGAGAACTGGCAGTTCTGCAGACGCGCACATCGCCCAGGACAGAGCCAGATGATAAACCACCATAAAATAGGTGTATTTGTATACGCGCACACACCTCTTGCCTGTTGGCAGCACAACTCTGGAGAAAACAGACCTAAACCCAGAAAGCTTCTTGTGAAGTAAAAAAGCTTCTTTTGCTTTTCAGTATTAGTCACTGATGAACGGTAGGAAATTTGAGAGAAGAAAGCATTTGCCAAGAGGTGAAGAGCCCGTGTCCCACGTACCGCGTGTGGGAACAGGCTCAGTTATAAAACTCACAAAACTCGGGCTAGTGACTAACTTGGAGACAAATCCCTACCCTGCAGCACCGCAGTCGTTTTAACATCACGCTCTCACTAATTATTCCCATTTGATTGTATCTTCAGAGCCCAAAGGTCTTTACTAGGAAGTTTCAGAAGTGGTATGTACAGAAAAAAAAAACAAACAACCTAA